ACTAACGTCACTGGTAGTTCCTATAGTGCTGGTTTAGACTGAGTCTGAAGTAGAAACTAAATTAGTTCCTCCAAAAGGAGTTCCTAGAACTAAAATCGTTCCTAGTTCCTGTGAACAAAAAACGGGTACTTGCACCAATACTTCTGGGAACTATGAAAAGGTTCCTCTGGTGTGAAAGCCCCTATTGTAGCCAATCACTGACATACTGTATATGTTGAGCTTGTGAACGCAATGATCAACACTGCTCAAAATGCTAGTGGGGAAATGCTGGTATAGTCACATTTTTTTTAAATGTAAGTACCGGGCGGCAGTGGCTCAGTGGTTCATGTGGGTTGTCTACGAACCGAAAGGTTGGTGGTTCAATCCTCGGTTCCACCTGACCAAGTGTCGAGGTGTCCATGAGCAAGACTCCTGACGAGCTGGCTGGCGCCTTGCATGGCTGACACCGCCGTCGGTGTATGAATGAGTGTATGAATGGGTGAATGTGAGGTAAATGTAAAGCGCTTTGGTGGCTATTAGGTCTATGAAGGCGCTATATAAATGCAGTCCATTTACCATTTACCGTTACTTTTGACAACACTATGCTAGATAAGGATAAACTTGTTAGAGCAGTTGCTGCAATCAGAAAGTTTATATTGTAATGTTGTAGTGTTCTATTTTTTTTTAAACATATATTTTTCTTAAAGGTGCATTGCGCAACATTTCATGTTAAAAATACCCGTTTTTCTAACCCATACAGGCTTAAACAATTGCCTGATGGGCTGAATGAGCCCTTCTCAGATCACTGCAATTGCCTCTATAATCCTGTACAGTAAAATAAATAAGAGGGATTCGGGACGGAGTTTGAGACTGGGCGTGACGTCATGCGCGTTCGCGCTCGCCTGGCTATGTGTGGCAGGTTTGTGTATTCGCCGCCATTCTCCGTATCAGCGAAGACAACTCGAGCGACAAAACTTTCGACTAAAGTAGAAGATGGATTCAAGGAGACCGGCTTGTAGTTCATTCCAAACCCCCAACGCAAACTCGCGTCGGAATAAGACGAGAGTCAACATCGGGAAGGCTTTCAACAAACGGAGAGATCTCCGGTCGGCTCTAGGGCTCAAACGGGTCCTATACAAAGTAATAACTTGTTCATGAACGTGTTTCCATAACAATACAATCACCAGTGGATACAGTAAACACATAAAACAGTTCAACATGGCGATAGATGGAAATAAAAAACAAAGTTTTCTACTACCCCCGTTTTCCCCTCACACACATAAGTGTGTAATTTACTCAAATGCCTTTCCTTTCATATATTTAAAAAGACATTATGACTGTAACAATAGATCTGTGCGGCTGATGTTCCTTTGGTTATGAGCGGCTCCATGAGGGTGCACACCTCTGGTTGCAGTTCCGCTTGTCGCCAGAGGGGGCGTAGTTCTGCAAAAACTCAGAGACTTGCGCAATGCACCTTTAAATGTAACCAAGTCGCATTGCATACAATGTTTTTGTCTGACTTTTTCGGCCTCTGACTGTTTTCGCTGAATTGCTGAAAGGCCACCTCTGGATCACAGCAGAACATCACTGAGACATCTCTTCCTAATGTCAAATCACCTTTATTTATATAGCGCTTTATACAATACAGATTGTTTCAAAGCAGCTTTACAGTGATAACAGGGAAATGATGCATTTGGGCTGATGTTTGATTCAGTTCCGCTCGAATTATTAAATGACTTCATTTCATCTATAAAGCAGATCTGCAAAATATTGTCATCATCCAGTTGTTCAGTTCTCGTACAACAGCGTCAGCACAGTCGGGTCAGTAATATTGTTTAATATGAATTGATTCCTAGTGTCATTATTTTCTGTTGTTTGTGGATTCCATGTGATTTGTTATTTCTAATTTCATTATGTGACTCATTTTGAAAGGTTGTTCTGAGAATGTGACTAAAAGCAAAAGTAACAATTAGGAAGTGAAGTTATTCAGATGAATGGCATGGCTGTTTGTTGTGGCATTTTAAATGGCACTCGTACACAAACGCGTGCACAATTAAACAGTGTTTAATGCGGTAACACCAGAGAACATCTGTGACTTGAAATGAAACTTTTTAATGTGAGGATGTACCATGAAATCCTAACTCAATATACAAAAACAGGATTTTAAATGGTTCAAGTGAATAATAGATAGTTGCATCTCATGTGTCCTGCTTACATTGAAAATCAAGTTGTCCGGAGGAAATGCACTACAGAGTCGTGTCAGAAAACAGATAAACAGCATTACACACAGCCTAGCAAAATGTTTGTATTGTGTGGCGCGAGGGTTAATATTCCAGCCTCTGACAAACAGAAACAGGGGCCAAATATGGTCATAGAAATCCAGCTAATGCGAATTTCTCCGTTTTTCGCTCTTTGGTTTGAGAGCCGTCATGATTTGTCACACTCGGCAGTATTTAGTTAAGACTAGAGAGCAGTTCCTGAAGTCATTTCACAACAGGGTTTGAAAGTGTAGTTACTCATGTTATATACTCCACAAGCTACTAACACCCTGAAGCTACTAGACAATATCTTTTTAAATGTATGATTGCAATTTTAAATCTGCCTCAAAAACAATAAAGGGATTTGAATGAATGACATTAAAACCTTCGTTTGACTGTTTTTAATGTGCGTCACATTTGCTCCAGCCACTATACGTACCAAGTGCACATAAAATAAAATTATTTTCTCTCTAAATATGATTAATTGATTATATTTAAATCATTTTTGATCTTTACGCTAAAGCTAACTCATGATGCTTCTGGTTTATGACTTACTGCATGGTGTACATCGTGTCTAGTGTAACTCATTTATACTAGTTTGAGCCATCTTTTGTTTGTAATATCATATGTATACTAGTTTTTTGTAAACCTGTACTACTAGTAGTCTATACTAGTTTAAATAATCTTTTGTTTGTATTATACTAGTTTTTTTTAATCATCTTTTGTTGGTATGTTTATTATTGTCATGTTATACATACTAGTTTAAACTATATTCATTCATCTTTTCTTTGCAAATATATTAGTTTTAAGCATCTTTTTTTTAGGGTATGTTTGCTAGGTTTAATCTTTTTTCATAATGGTATGTATACTAGTTTTAATCATCTTTTGTACGTTGCAGCATAGCTGCGAAAACTAGCATAGCATAAACTAGCATGCTAGTTTGTTACTTCATAACGATATGTATACTATATTAATTTCACTAAACGTTTGTTTACGACTGTATACTATTAGTTTAAATCGTTTATTTGTAGCTATATTTGTGACTTTAATGGTAAAATACTGTAAAAATGTGACTGCAAAAACCTGTTCATTATTTAACAGTAAGTTTCCTTACTGTAGTATGCGCGTATGTCTCATCACCACCGGTTTTTAGTGGTTGTCAGTGTCATCTGCCAGTGTTTTTTTTTCCATAAATCTCACTTTTCTTGGAGTTTTATTAAACATATGTATACGCAGACAACATACAAACTGCAAACAAGTTATTGTGCAATGTGTTGATGTTCATAATGGAGAACCTGAAATTGAACAAGAAACATGCCCAGACAGCAAACTGACATTGAATCAACGTGGAAACGACGTCTCTCATGACATTGAAACAACGTTGATTTGCTCATCGAATTAACGTTGAACCAACGTCAGACGCGGCATTCTTCAAAGCTAAATGAAATCGAAAATTGGTTTGCTTTCATAACGTTGAAACAACGCGTTGATTTCAAGTTGATTTTCCGTTAGTTTTGAAAGAATGACGCGTCTGACGTTGGTTCAACGTTAATTCGATGAGCAAAACAATGTCAGATCAACATTGTTTCGATGTCATATTTCCACGTCGATTCAATGTCAGTTTGCTATCTGGGTGGACAGTTTAACAGTTCATTTCAATCAATTTGTAATAAATCTTAGTTGACAGAGAGATTGGTCTGTGGTTCGTGAAATATATTATAGAATTGCTTTTGTGGAAATCTGCTCTGTAAGTTTCGCAGCTTTCATGCATTTGCCTTGGCGAACAAAATTGGAGAAGAGAAACAAGTCATCTGCTTTTACGGTTTGTGTGTGTGGTGTTGAATACTTCAATAACTGCTTGTTCTCCTGGAATGAGAGCAGAAGTGTGTGCATGTGAATGAGTCAGTGGTGTTTTCTCCTCTCCTCTCTGTGTGAGGGTTGACTGCGATTCAAAGAGGAAGGCTTGTAGTATTACGGCACCGTTGCTTTGGCACAAGCCAGAGCGTGTGAAGCTATTTTAAGCCGTGATTTAGCCTGACTCACTCAAAATGACAGATTTTGTTTGAGAGAGAAAGAGCTAAATTGTCAATCTGGTGTGTCAGAACTGACGGGATACATGCTGGAAATTCCTGCAGCTCAAAGCGTCCGGATTCATTTGCAGCTCTCGCAACTTCCCGGAATCCGCTCTCATTTTTTCCCAAGGAGATTTAGTGTGTGTGTGTGTGTGTGTAGGCGTAGGTCGAAGGTTTCAGATCACGGGTCGTAGCTCTATTCTCTCTTAATTTCCAGATGAACATTCTTAGCTAATCCCAGTAGAACAAGAACATCGTCCCCCTCTTGTTTCCCTCTCTTTCTGCTCAAACACACACCGGACGACATTCATGAAGTGTGTCATGCACTGACACAAATGATGATAAAACATTAATTTCCAAACTTTTTGAGTGGTATTTTATTTATCTGTAAAGAAAATTGTTGGGTTTTGTTTCAGTATGAGAGTCCAAATCACAGTTTATTGCTCGGTGTAAAATCTCACATTTACTTTTATTCATATAGCAGACATTTTTATGAGCAACTCACACATGAGAATAATGTAAGCAGAAGTGATCAATTCAAGCTACTGTACAACATTTAAAGTATAAAGACATTATACAGGCACAATATAAACAGTAACGGAGATTTTGGAACTTGTAAACGTTTCTAAAGACGTGATGTAATTGTTATGTGATTATATAAAGAAGTTTTGTTGCTTTGTTTGTGTTTCAGGACTACAAAACGCCAAAGCTTACCGTACACTGTTCGAACATCAGAGAGATTCGACGCTGTAATCGCCTAGAGATGCCAGACAATATGAACACATTTGTCTTAAAGGTGAACGAAGACACACACTGGTTCATTTCATTGAAAAAAATGATATATTGACAAGGCCGATTCATTTACACGGAAGCCCTGAACTGCAACATAAAAAAGTCGAAATGTTTCGAGATTAAAGTCGAAATGTTTCGAGATTAAAGTCTAAACGTTTCGAGATTAAAGTTTAAATGTATCGAGATTAAAGTCGAAAGGTTGCGAGATTAAAGTCGAAACGTTGCGAGATTAAAGTCGAAACGTTGCGAGATTAAAAAAGTCGAAACGTTGCGAGATTAAAAAAGTCGAAACGTTTCGAGATTAAAAAAGTCGAAACGTTTCGAGATTAAAAAAGTCGAAACGTTTCGAGATTAAAAAAGTCGAACCGTTTCGAGATTAAAAAAGTCGAAACGTTTCGAGATTAAAAAAGTCGAAACGTTTCGAGATTAAAAAAGTCGAAAACGTTTCGAGATTACAAAAGTCGAAACGTTTCGAGATTAAAAAAGTCGAAACGTTTCGAGATTAAAAAAGTCGATACGTTTCGAGATTAAAAAAGTCGATACGTTTCGAGATTAAAAAAGTCGAAACGTTTCGAGATTAAAAAAGTCGAAACGTTTCGAGATTAAAAAGTCGAAACGTTTCGAGATTAAAAAGTCGAAACGTTTCGAGATTAAAAAAGTCGAAACGTTTCGAGATTAAAAAAGTCGAAACGTTTCGAGATTAAAAAAGTCGAAACGTTTCGAGATTAAAAAAGTCGAAACGTTTCGAGATTAAAAAAGTCGATACGTTTCGAGATTAAAAAAGTCGATACGTTTCGAGATTAAAAAAGTCGATACGTTTCGAGATTAAAAAAGTCGAAACGTTGCGAGATTAAAAAAGTCAAAACGTTGCGAGATTAAAAAAGTCGAAACGTTGCGAGATTAAAGTCGAAACGTTGCGAGATTAAAAAAGTCAAAACGTTGCGAGATTAAAAAAGTCGAAACGTTGCGAGATTAAAGTCGAAACGTTGCGAGATTAAAGTCGAAACGTTTTGAGATTAAAAAAGTCGAAACGTTGCGAGATTAAAAAAGTCGAAACGTTGCGAGATTAAAGTGGAAACGTTGCGAGATTAAAGTCGAAACATTTCGAGATTAAAGTCGAAACGTTTTGAGATTAAAAAAGTCGAAACGTTGCGAGATTAAAAAAGTCGAAACGTTGCGAGATTAAAGTCGAAACGTTGCGAAACGTTGCGAGATTAAAGTCGAAACGATGCGAGATTAAAGTCGAAACATTTCGAGATTAAAGTCGAAACGTTGCGAGATTAAAAAAGTCGAAACGTTTCGAGATTAAAAAAGTCGAAATGTTTCGAGATTAATGGATCAATACAAAATAGTAGCTTTTTACTTTTATCTGGGCTTTCAACAAATTCTATACAGTTGCTAGTGACAGTGTTTTTGAGGTGTTTTCGTGCTTGTCTAGGCAACACTATCTGGGTTGAGAACAGTAACCGTTTCGACTTTAATTTGTAATGATTCGACTCTAATCTCGAAATTTTTCTACTTTAATCTCGAAATGCTAGATTTATTTATTTTTTTATTTTTTACGTTGTGGTTCAGGGCTTTTGTACATTTGGGTGGTATTAGACCATTTTTAGATGATCAACTTTGGCCGGATCGTCATAGTGCACATCCTGTTTTCAAATTTTTTTTAGTGAAAATTTAAATTTAAATTGATATATAATTATGGAATATATACAGTTTAAACACCTTATTGAAATTTGGGGAAATCCACAAGTTTATAGGACTTTCCTGTTTTTTTAAAACACTGAAACTTTATTATTATGAATGAATATGAAATAATTCAGATTATGCTGTATCTAGGTGACTAATCAAATGTAAGTAAATGAGTGTTATTGATCAGATGACTTTTTGTACAGACGGCCAGATTATATTTCTTTGAAGCTCAGGATGCTTCTTTGAACAAATCAAATCATGACAGAGAAACATGGTCATTATGTTTTACAATAAAAAAAATACATTTGAAAATTGCAAAACCCACTGTATTTGATATTTGAAAATGTGTGGTCACATAATGTTTTTGTAGATACAGTATCCCTGATATTAGAACGGGTTTATAAACGTGCACATACAGTATTTTCACAGTAATATACTGTATTATAAAATTTTCACAAACCGAAAAGTCTTTTTGCGAATCCAATTTCTGTTTGTTGTCCCAAATGAAAAAACATCCAGCACATAAAAGTTTATACCTGTTTTAATCTGTCTCAGGTTAATGCTACCTCTTGGGAGTCTCATCGTTTCAGAGCTGGAAAGGAGAGCTCAGTCTTTGATTTTTAGTTTTTGATTTTGCTGAAGTCGTCATGATTAGTGGTCGTCGACCAAAATGGGTTTTCCTTTGGTCTATCTATGCTGATATCTAGAGAGCGAGGCGGCTGACAGCCGATATAAAGCAGATGAGGAGTTGATGGCAGCGCTCTGTGGTGTGACATGCTATTATCTAAAACTATTCAAAGTAGTTGTTATACATTTAAATAAAAGTAATTAAAATGGTGAAAATTGTGAAGATTTATTTATTTATATATGTGACTAGCTTGTTACCATTTTCTACCAGTTATTACATTAGATTTTTTTAAAAATATATTTATTTATTTATTTGTATTTGTTTATAAATATATATATATATATATATATATATGAAGAGTTCAGATGCAAAAGCCTCTAAATGCCATTTGAAATTTTCATCTTTAATGATGATTTTTATCAAGCTTGTATATTTAAGTTCAGTAATTTCACTTAAATAACAATTAATAGGTAATTATCATTGCCATTTAAGTGAAATTACTGAACTTAAATATACAAGTTTGATAAAAATGATCATTCTAGAAGAAAATTTTAAATGGCATTTAGAGGCTTTTGCATCTGAACTCTTCATATATATATATATATATATATAAGTAAATCAAAATCTAAATGGAAACACTTTACTTGAAGGGTAACTAATATGACACCTTCATTATCATGACATGACATATGTATTGAATATGAAGTAAGGTTTATGCATGTTTATTTATACATAAGTCTTTCGCTCAATAATGACATTTTGAATGCAAATATGACATTGTTTAAGATGTCTTTGTTTGAAATCTTGACATAAACAAATGTTAATTGAATTTGAATTTGTCATTAAAATGAATTTAAATTTGACCAATTGAATTTGTCATTAAAAAGTTATAATGGCTTCATGACAGCCAATGTCAAAACCAACCACCTGACAGTTTAATGTAATGTTAACCAATAAAGCTAGGTGGTTTCTTAAGTTTGATCATTAATCTGCTATGTCATGTTTATGACCGCTTGTGTTGTCTAGTAATGTCAAGTTGTCATGACAAAGACACTGACAGGTTATGATGTAATGGTTTATGTCAAGGTGTCATCACAAAGACATCTTAATGTCATATTTGCATTCAAAATGTCATTATTGAGCGAAACACAGTTGTCATAAACATGCATAAACCCTACTTCATATTCAAGACATGTCATGTCATGTTTATGAAGGTGTCTTGTTAGTCTTCTGCACACCCATTCAAGTAAAGTGTTACTCATATGATTATTATTATTATATATTTTTTAGTATTATTGTAGCGAATTAGTTATTTTTTCAAATCTCACTTCAAATTCAATATAAAAAATATCGTAAAACAGGGCATGCCTTTTAATCTTTGGCAAAGCTTACACAACTCGACTATGGTTCATTAACTGATGCTGAATATCACAAAAATATCAGCCAAGTTCATTTCTAAATCTTTTTTCTTCTTGTCTTCTCTCCATTTTCTCTCTCTTTCTGCTCAGGTTACTGGCCATCCACGTAGTTTTATATTTGAGGCGGATAATGAGCAGCAGGTGAGCTCCTGGACCACAGAGCTCAGAGAGTGTATCACCAGCAGGTGAGAGCAGCGCTTTCTGCATTTCAACTAAACTTACTTCTGAAGATTCCAGACATCTGCAAAAGTTCCTGACATTCCCCTACTGAGAAAACCCACTCACTTCCTCTTACATACACACACACATACACGTCTGGTTTTGCGGACTCTCCATAGACGTAATGGGTTTTAGACTGTACAAACTGTATATTCTGTGCCCTTCCCTAAACCTAGCCAATATAGGAAACATTCTGCATTTTTACATTTAAAAAAATGATAATTCTGTACGATTTATATGCGTGTTTACCCTATTTGGACCTCAATTTATATTAGGTCCCCACCGTGACACGAGTCCCCATGAGTCTGTGTGCATTCAGGTTTAAAGGAGTAGTTCACTTTTGAAAAAACTTTTGCTGATAATTTACTCACCCCCATGTCATCCAAGATATCCAAGTCATTCTTTCTTCAGTCGAAAAGAAATTAAGGATTTTAATGAAAACATCCCTGGATTTTCTCCATATAATGGACTTCAATGGGAACCAAACGGTTCAAGGTCCAAATGAGAGTTTAAGTGCAACTTCAAAGGGCTTTAAACGACACCAGACGATGAATAAGGGTCTTATCTAGCGAAACAATCGCTCATTTAATAAATAAGTAACAAAGTTTAAGTTTTATAAGCTCAAATGCTCGCCTTGCTCTGTACTGCGATGAGCGTTCGTGACTCTCCTGTTCTAACTCATTCATCAAAATGAACGAGCTTCGTTAACGCTTCATTTAATGAACGAAATGAACGAATTGACTCAGAAAAAGATTTGTTCATTTTGATGAACCGGGATGGAAAAACATGAACACATACACACTCATGCATACACATTTTTCATGATTATGGGGACATTCCATAGGCATTATGATTTTGTTTTAACTATGTTATAGTTATTACGGTATGGTTTTAATGCCGTAAAAACTATATATTCTATTCCCTAAACTGCAATTTTACTAAAAACATCATTTAGTATGATTTATAAGCTGCTTTTCTCATGGGGACCAATAATGTACCCAAGGATTTTGCCATCTTTATGGGGACATTTTGTCCCTACAACATTTACCAGAACTGCACACACACTCACACAAAGTGTTACAAACAGCTCTATTTTAACATCTCTATTTGAACAAGACTCAAAGAGAAATCCACAGAGTTTAGTTTCTCATGCATTGTAGTAGGTTATAAAAAAAATAAATAAATCTTAATATAGATATCAGACTGTTTGTTTACTTGCAGACATGTCCGTATATTCCATCTATGTCTGTCATGGAAGGTGTGTTTGTGTGTGTGCACAAATGTTTCATTTCCTTTTATTGGTGTGAGGGTACTGAGAACTCAAGCCTGTGTGAATATATCAATGTGAGTTTTAGGAAGAGAGAGAGAGTGAGGTCTTCCTGTTATTCTGATTACTAAGAATCTCAAGAACTCGACTCAGCACATCTCATGGCCTCCTTTCTCTCCATGCCCCCCTGCTTTCTCGTTTTCTTTGCCTTGTTTGATTTTTCTGATGTTTTTTTTTCTACCTTTACCCCTTTTTTTTTCTCTTTTTTGTTTGTCCAAGAATTACAAGACACATTTCCTGACTCGAACCAAAAGCTTTTGTGCCGCTCTCTCCCGCAACTTCCCCAAACGCCCCTCCCTGAGTCTTGCTTCTGCTCTCTTCCTCTGTTCTTTCCTTCATTTCGTCCCTGGTTTTAAAGCGACGTCTGTTTTTCTGTCTGACACACACACAGGGGCTAGACAATGAAACTGAAACACTTGCCAGTGTACAGTAGTGTTGAAGGTTTCACGTATATGTATTTGCGCGGCCTGGTGGCCAATCATCACTGATTATACATTATATCAGTAAGAGTAGAGTGTGAGGATTAACATTTACATTACATTTTTTCATTTAGCTGACGCTTTTATCCAAAGGGACTTACAATTGCTATATATGTCAGAGGTCGCACGCCTCTGGAGCAGCTAGGGGTTAAAGGGATAGTTCACTTTGAAATTATTTTTTGGTATGTTTTAGCTTACCTCAAGGGCATCTTTGTTTCCACAGTATTTTCAATTTTGATATTTTCAGTCAGTCATATAATGGAGGTCTATGGTCACCACCTCAAAGAGCATGCACAGAGAAGTCCAAATTAAACATGATTTAATGACTCGTAAATGTAAGTACACATTGATGGCCTAAGACACGAAACGAGCGGTTTGTGTGAGAAAACGAACAGTGTTTATATCGTTTTTACCTCTTGTAAACACAGCCACGTCCAAGTGATCTAAAGGCACGGGCGCTTCGGAAGTGATCTCTCTCGTGTGTACGTCACTCATTGTTTACACATAGATTTCGGAAGTTCTAAACATATTTAGATATACAGGAAATCGCAATGGAAGACTATTTCGATATTTAGATCTTCACACTACCCCATAGACCTGCATTACATGACTGACAGACAAGAACGGTTTGACCTAAAAATATCAAAATTGAAACTACTGCGGAAACAAAGACACCTACATCTTGGATGCCCTTGAGGTAAGATAAAACATATCAAAAATGAATTTCAAAGATTTATGTTTTCAATTTTAAACATAATGGGAGATATATTAGAGTTCAGAAGAGGACCGTGCTCGTCTCGCTGGCTCATCTGTGACCAGGACAGAGAGTCTTTGTGGTGTATCGAGAGCTCTGGTATCGAGGGTAATGTCGGCATTTCTCCACATAGGAGAACCGCAACCAAAGCTGTCCTGTCTGAAAGGGATGTCCCGTTACTAACCCGGAGTGTATCCAGAAAACCACAGCTGCTCCACTCCCCAGAGTCCATATTCATGGTTGGGATGCTATGGCCAAACCTTTGGTCACTCGTGCCGAATGTCGGTTTCATTGGTGCCAACAGTGCAAAACTTGGGCTTAAACATGTATTTTTCTCTGATGGGTTCATGTTCACTGTCTTTCCTCCACAGTCACCAGATCTCAAGATTTGTGAGCCATTTTGTCAGTAAACATGACTGACCGCTATTCTGGAAGAGGAATGGCTCAGAATCCCTCTGGTCACTGTGAAGGGCTTAAACCGGTCATTCCCAAGACAAACTGAGGCTCTATTGGCCACAAAAGGAGGCCCTATATATATGAAGAGTTCAGATGCAAAAGCCTCTAAATGCCATTTGAAATTTTCTTCTTTAATGATGATTTTTATCAAACTTGTATATTTAAGTTCAGTAATTTCACTTAAATAACAATTAATAGGTAATTATCATTGCCATTTAAGTGAAATCACTGAACTTAAATATACAAGCTTGATAAAAATGATCATTCTAGAAGAAAATTTTAAATGGCACTTAGAGGCTTTTGCATCTGAACTCTTCATATATTTAACATGGTTTATATATATATATATATGTATATAAAACATGTTAAATTCTCTAACATATCTGTTTTGATTATTTTATCGAAATTTTACACAAAATTTTATTAAAAATGCAAATAACTTTCTATTTAAGCACATTTAATATGTGCGAAAAAAGTGTAGTAAGTGAGATCGCAAAAAAATTCAAATAAAAAAAAAAATTTATAAATATTTTATGTGACCCGGTGCGTTTGTTTTAGAAAGTTTCGCTTTTTTAGTCAAGTCAAGTCAAACTTTATTTTTAGAGCACAAGTTTAACACAACCGTAGTTGATCCAAAGTGCTTTCCAGTACAATAAAATAATTCAATCAAATAAAAAAAATAAAATAAAAAAGAGATAAAATCAAGTAGCAAAACATTTGGTGTATCAACGTATACAACCGACTAATTTAAAAATAAATACATGACCTTATTCGAACACAAGAGAGTAAAAATAGGTTTTTAAACTGGATTTAAAAGCAACCAAAGATGGAGAGGTCCTGATGGTTAAAGGTAAACTGTTCCAGAGCTTTGGCGCAACAGTCATCAAGTCATCAAACAATGTGGACGGACCTTTGCATATGTGATGTGATGTGATGTTATGTTATTGACTGTGGGACATTGTGGGACCTCTTCATCATGCGATTAAAGAACTTCATAGATGTTTATGAGAGTGTGTGTGTGTGTGTGATTCCAGGTCAGAGAGTGTGGATGGAGAACCGTTTCCTGTTAGTGACTCGCTGAATGCAGTTCGCAGAGGGAGCACAGAGCCCAGCGGCCAGGGTGAGTCACGTACACACACACACACACACACACACACATACACGATCTCTCTTCCTGCCTTCTGTTTTTCCCTCTTATTTATATTAATGCAAGTACTCTTAACAGCTTCAAAAGCATTTGTTGTCAACTCGATTGAAACAGATCTTAATAACTGGCGTGAACAATGTTTATTGTTCATGTAATGTTTTAGTTATACATATCAGTTGAAAGATGTGATTAAAAGACATAACATCAAAAGACATAACATTGATCTCAAAGACATAACATTTGAGATGAAACTATTTTGCATGATAATCGACGGCTTGCTTTAGGTAGAAAATGAGATGCGAGTCATATTCAGATGTCTCACTGTGTGCCTCCACAGGCTCTCTGGGATTTGGGCTCACAGAGCACGCCTACAACAAAACGGATCACTTCCTGTCCTCTTACCCATGGTTCCATGGGCCCATATCACGTGTGCGGGCTGCCTACCTTGTACAGCACGCCGGGGTCAGCGGTCATGGGAACTTCCTGGTGAGACAGAGCGAGACACGGAGAGGAGACTATGTCCTCACGTTTAACTACCAGGGCAGAGCAAAGGTAATGAACTCAACATCATCATTATCATGAATATTATTTTCATTAGGGATGTTCAGTATATCAGTGACTAAATGGGTATTGCTCAATTTTGTGTTTTAAAGTATTGTTATTAGGGCTGGGCAATGATTAATGGCATCCAAAATAAAAGTTTGTGTTTACAATAATATATATGTGTGTGTGTAATGTGTATAATTATTTTGTATATAAAAATTCACACACATGCTTGTATATATTAAAAAAAAATGGTTGTTAATATATAAAATATTAATATTTATATTTAATATAAATATATATATACAGTATATACATGCAAATATTTGTTCAATATATATACATGCATTTGTGTGTATTTCTATGTACAAAATAATTATATAACTACACACGCACATATATTATGTAAACACAAACTTTTATTTTGGATAAGATTAATCGCAATGAATCGTTTCCCAGCCCTAATTGTTATTATTTTGTATATTGTATTTAAGATTTTTTTATTTTTTTATTTTAAAGGCAAAAGCAAATAATATCAGGGCTTATTATTATTGAGCGTTTTAAAAGCATTAAACAATTATTAATCTTTTTTTTTTTTTTTACTGAATATTATACTGTTTTGTGAAACACACACACACTCAGAAAAGCCAGAATTTCTTTTATTTAATTTATATTTTCAATTTAATTTATAAAACTTTATCCCACAATGAAGTGCATCTCTGTTTTATTATTATTAGACATTTTACACAAATTTTAAATAAAAACGCAAAATAAATGTCTTTTCTATTTAAGTGCATTTAATATTTTATTAATTAAAATAATTACATGTACTTAAATTTAAATGCATTAAATTCATTAATATTTTCTTTATTGAAACAATTATATTCACTTCAGTATAAATACATAATTTTAATGTAAGCATTTTAAAATGATTAAAATAACATTTTCTATGTTTATGTCAGTATTTATAATGTATCTTCCACTGTTTTTCTTCCTTTGCAGCATTTACGTCTATCTTTAACCGAATGGGGTCAGTGTCGTGTGCAGCATCTGCGTTTCCCATCAGTCACGGACATGCTGAATCACTTCCGCAACTGTCCGATCCCACTGGAGTGTGGCACCGCATGTGACGTTATGTTGGCCAATTATGTGCGGGTAAACCCCACTCACACAGGTGAGCCTAGAGGTATTTACACATGGAAATATATACAGTATAGCGCAGCTTTTTAGCCGGTGTAATGAAAGCCGGCTCCTAAGCTGTGCAGTGTGAAACCATGCACTGTTAGAATGCCATTACTAGATGTTTAACAACCGACAGCCAATCACATGCCTCATATTCTCGTGCTTTGCACCGTCACAGAAACACGCAGAAACCTTTACATGGCGACGTAAAATTGATGATTATCTTTATAGTCCATTAGTAACGTCTGCTAGAGGACAACAGATCGCAGTTGATTCTAGGTGAGAAATGAAATCAGGTGTGTGTCAGTTTATTGATCCGTTCATTATGTCTTAAAGTGACAGTATCCTATAGAAATCTGCTGCTGACTGTCATTTAATGTGAATTAAACAACAAAACAGATCTTTAACAAGGATTAATCTATATTTAATTTATACAGTGAACTCTATAGTGTTATTTTACAATTTACTGATTACATTTCTGTTCCTGTAACTGTATTATATTGTATATATGCCTGTAAGTGGTGTAAATGTTATTACTGACTTTTATCTTTAATGTTAAATTATTAATTTTTTGCTGTGGTATCGATGTACTTAAAGTGGTCTTTAAGTAATAAATGAAAAGCAAAGTTACCCCCCCCTTTTTTTTTTTTTTTTGCTGATCCGAAAAAATTATCCAATCCGTGACTCCAAAAATGTACTATGATCCGAAGCGTGGGTTTAGTGATCCATTGCACTGCAGTGCATAATATTAATGCTTTGATATAAACAGGTCGCACACGTCTCTCCTCCAATCAATAACAATGACACCGCAAATATGCAAATGAGGACATTAACCCAGGGTTTAGGAATGCACAGTGTGAAAAAAACCCAGGATTAATTGTTAACCCCGGGTTAAATTATGAGCATTGTGAAACATGGAGGAATGCTATTAATAATGCTTAATGCAAGCAATATAACATAAGTGGCACCACATGGAGTTCTGGATGGGGAAAAAAGTCACTTAAGCATAATTTTGCACATGCAATAAAGTGCAACAGATGTTTTCTTAGTAGACGACTTGATTTGAATCACTTCTGAGTCATTTTTATAGTGTGATGTAAACCATCTGATCGTAATTGTTATTGGCCAACTGGCAAGTAAACACGTTTGATTTATTCACCAAAGCCGTTTTTTTTCACATATTTGGTGCTGTGCGAAAATTAATTTTGGGCTTATGTGTAATCTAATGCGTGTAAACCACATTAAATAGCATAATAAAAATGTTTAAATAATCTTCATAATCATACACCGTTTAAGTGTCAGTAACAAAGGCGATATTTATTGCAGTGTTAAAATACAATATAAAATAAAAGAGCAGTTATTGATCTGGCAGCTGAAAACATGCATGCAATTTCTTTTTTGTCTCTGATCGCGTTTCCCTCTTGTGCTTTGTGGTTTAGAAAGGTTTTAGTTGTTCTGAGAGACCTGACACAAGGAAACATGCACTCTCTCAAACACACACACGCGCATCCATACACTCGTATGCATATCATCACGACTACAGACTAACCTGCCATCAAGTCTCTGTTTCCTGCTGTCCCATCCTCACATGCTGTAATAATGTGGTCAAGCACAAACACACACATACACAAAGCCTAAACCCATGTTTTATCACACACATTTACTGACATGCTCTATTTTTGAGTCGACTTCAAGCACACACACTCTCACTGTTATACTCTGTAAATGTGAAGACGATGCCCTCTATGGGATACAGGGAGAATTTTATGGTTATTAAAGGAGTAGTTCACTTTAAAAAAAAAAAAAAAACTTTTGCTGATAATTTACTCACCCCCATGTCATCCAAGATGTCCATGTCATTCTTTCTTCAGTCGAAAAGAAATAAAGGTTTTTGATGAAAACATTCCAGCTTTTTTCTCCATATAATGGACTTCAATGGGGACCAAACAGTTCAAGGTCCAAATGAGAGTTTCAGCGCAGCTTCAAAGGGCTTTAAACGACACCAGACGATGAATAAGGGTCTAATATAGCGAAACGATCTGTCATTTCAAAAATAAATAAAAAATGAGCGATCGTTTCGCTAGATAAGACCCTTATTCATCGTCTGGTGTCGTTTAAAGCCCTTTGAAGCTGCACTGAAACACTCATTTGGACCTTGAACCGTTTGGTTCCCATTGAAGTCCATTATATGGAGAAAAATCCTGGAATGTTTTCATCAAAACCCTTAATTTATTTTTAACTGAAGAAAGAAAGACATGGACATCTTGGATGACATGGGGGTGAGTAAATTATCAGCAATTTTTTTTTTATAAGTGAACTACTCCTTTAAATCCAAGAAATAAAATGCTGTAAAAAAAAAAGTCAAAACTAAATCTATTTATGTGCAGAACTGTAGTGTACTCTACCATTCAAAAGCTTGAGATAGGTAAGATTTTTTTTTTTTTTAATTATTAAAAGGCTTCAATTGTGTTTACCACTTTCTTAGTGTATTTTACATCTTACATTAAATAATTCCTCAATAGCCATACATTGCTCCCTGTATCCCATAGAGGGCATCGTCTTCACATTTACAACATTACACCCTGCAAATAGACTGACTGAATTTTCAGCATCATTACTCCAATCTTCAGTTTCACACGATCCTTCAGAAATCATTCTAATAATCTGATTTCATAACATTATTAAAAATGTTGAAACCGATTTGTGCTGTGCTTTTATATTTTTGTAGAAACTGATATACATTTGTTCAGGATTCTTTGATGAATTGAATAGAAAGTTCAAAAGTATATATTTGATTTGAAATAGAAATATTTTGTACAATTATAAATGTCTTTACCGTCACTTTTGATCAATCTAATGCATCCTCGCTAAATAAAAGTATCACTTTATCGTTCAAAAGTTGTTTTTTCCTAACAAAAGTGATATTTAAAAATGTGTTATTTAGAGATATTCAGCTCTAGAATCTACTCATTTTTTTTGTTTAAATTTGTAAAAGTCAGAAAATTTATAGAAAGTAATTGGTCAAAAGGGTGTGAACTGAATTTTACAAATAAAAATGTACTTCTGAGTGTAGTGTTCATCATCAAAGGCAGATGGAGCGATTTGTGGTTCTTCATTTATGTGTTCATCAAACCTTTATGAAACCGTCATCCTTCTTTTAAAGGGATACTCCACCCAAAAATGTTACTCACCCTCAAGTTGTTGCAAAACTGTATGAGTTTCTTTCTTCTGCTGAACACAAAGGAAGATATTTTGAAGAACGATTGGAACTTTGGCACCATTGACTTCCATAGTAGAAAAAAAATACTATGAAAGTCAATGGTGCCAAAGTTCCAATCGTTCTTCAATTTTTGGGTGGAGTATCCCTTTAAAGGGACATTTCACTTTAAAATACATTTTTGATGTGTTTTATCTTACCTCAAGGGCATCCAAGACGTAGGTGTCTTTGTTTCCGGAGTAGTTTCAATTTTGATATTTTTAGGTCAAACCGTTCTTGTCTGTTAGTTATATAATGGAGGTCTATGGTCACCACCTCAAAGAGCATGCACAGAGAAGTCCAAATTAAACATGATTTAATGACTCGTAAATGTAAGTACACATTGATGGCCTAAGACACGAAACGAGCAGTTTGTGTGAGAAAACGAACAGTATTTATATCGTTTTTACCTCTTGTAACCACAGCCACGTCCAAGTGACCTTAGGGCGCGGGCGCTTTGTGGCTATGTTAACGAGGTAAAAAACAATATAAATACAGTTCGTTTTCTCACACAAACCGCTCGTTTCGTGTCTTAGGCCATCAATGTGTACTTACATTTACGTGTCATTAAATCATGTTTAATTTGGACTTCTCTGTGCATGCTCTTTGAGGTGGTGACCATAGACCTCCATTATATGACTAACAGACAAGAACGGTTTGACCTAAAAACATCAAAATTGTCTACTGCGTAAACAGACGCCTTCATCTTGGATGCCCTTGAGGTAAGCTAAAACATACCAAAAAATTAATTTCAAAGTGAACTATCCCTTTAAAACGAACTCAAATTAAACCGAAAACTGTAATAACTGTTGCGCTGATGAAGTGTTGTGTCTGCTCCATCTCTCTAGGTCAGAGTTCGGCTGTGGGATCTCCGGTGTTGGTGCCCTTCTCCCGCTGGAGCTCAGAGCCGAGTCTGGCTCACTGTAGCCCGGATTCATGCCCTCACATGGCCCATTCGTGTTCGCCCGCCTCAGCGCTAGTCGAGCTCCCGCACCGCACGCCTCCTTCCCTTCCGGATCGTCCCGTTCCCGTTCCCCTGCGCCGGAGCGAGTCAGTTGGCCGCAGAAACCTGCTCCGCCACCCTAACCCACTGCCGCCCCTCCTGCCCAACCGGGACTCTGACTATGAACTAGAGCCGCTGGACAGGGGGCGCAAGAGAGCCATCGACAACCAGTACATGTTCTTCTGACAGGGACGGGATGAAAAAGCGAACAAAAGAAGATCTAGCTCCCGCGAGACTCGGGGGTAACGATGTGTCTGAACGAGACCGCCAGAGCCCTGACACCTCACCATCACAGCTGTCTGCCTTGTTTATGTCTTATACAGATGTTTCACTATCAAATCTGTGTGTATTGTAGAATAACTCAAGTAGGAAGTAGATGCAGGCAGCGGCTCATGGGGATACAGAGCATTTGTTGAAGAACGTGGAATGGGAACGTTTCACGATGGCTAGTCAGTAAGTTGAACACAAACTAAACACGTCTGCGTCTACACTGGAAGTGGCCGACATTGCGACAACTTGAGGTCTGAGTCTACACTGGAAGCGTTCACAGACCAATCAGCTGCAAGCTTGAGAGCGGTAAAATGACAATAAATCATAAAATCATAAAATTGATTTTGCGTGTGATAATATTATGCTTAGTTTTCCATATGTTGGTATTCTTACAATTGCAGATGCTGCATATGGTTAAATAAATGATTACAATTAGCACATTAGACCTGAGACATCTCGAGCTGGCTTTGATATATAACGGTCAGATGTTGTTTAAACATGAACAGAATACAATTTATTGATTTTGAAATAAAATCACATCATTTTCGATGTGGCTGGAGATGGAGAAACGGGGCGTCCGCTTCAAATGCTTTCAGTGTAGACAGCTCTTCATTATATGCAACTTAGTTGTGTCGTGTTGCCACATGCCAAACATGTCCGATGTAGAGACTGTGTTGAACGTCTTAAAGATCCAAATAGTTTAGTCTGGCTGCACACACACACACTCTTGATTGTTTAATTCATGTTCAGTTGTAGTAATACACAGGTTTCTATGTTTCGTGTATAAGAAGACCAAATAATATAGACCATAAGACCATATTTCGGTCGCATAGCCGAGGCCTAGATGTAGTACGTCTCTCAACACAGTCAGTCATGTCATCCTGGATTCTAGAGGTTTACAATTTAACCGACCAAAGAGGAAAATTAACCAAAACCCAATCCAGCATTATAGGCGATACGTTTTGTTTATGCGCAAATTGTTTTTTTTTTGTTTTTTTTTTCTATCTGTTTCAACACATTTTAACCCTCGTGTGTTTCATGGCTTCATAAGCTGTGGAAATATTACTTCTAAATTAACTGCTAAGAAAAATCTGACGCCATAAATAGTTGATTTTAAGCTATTGAAAAAGTCGTTTTTTAGTAAATGCATTAGAAAAAAAAACATTGCTCAACGTCTTCGGAGCTGTGTCTCCTTTGTCTCTTTAAATCGTTGTGAATGTCTTTCTTTGTGCTTAACACTACCATGATAGTCAAATCTGTATCAAGTGCAGATACCCAAATCACTTTATATCTCATTCACACATAATTTGGAAAATCTCATATTTCACCCCTAAGTCAAAAGAAAAGATATATATATATATATATATATATATATACATATGAAGAGTTCAGGTGCAAAAGCCTCTAAGTGCCATTTGAAATTTTCTTCTAGAATGATCATTTTTATCAAGATTGTATATTTAAGTTCAGTAATTTCACTTAAATGGCAATGAGGATTACCTATTAATTGTCATTTAAGTGAAATTACTGAACTTGAATATATAAGCTTGATAAAAATGACCATTTTAGAAGAAAATTTCAAATGGCACTTAGAGGCTTTTGCATCTGAACTCTTCATATGTATATGTGTGAGTGTGTGCATGTGTGTGTACCTGATTGTCCCTACGTTGTGAGGACCAAATGATCCCACAAGGATAGTACTACCAGTAATTTCTTGAACTAGTGAGGCTTTTTTTTTTTTTTGGTTCCCATGAGAAAAATCTTACTAAGTGATTTTTTTTTTTAATGTAAAAACTGCAGAAAGTTTTTTTTCTTCTTTGTGGTGTGTAGGTTTAGGAGTATGGGATATAGTATGCCATTTGTACAGTATAAAATTAGTCAATGGAAAGTCCTCATAATTATAGAAATACCTACGGAAGTGTATTGCATTCACTTGAAGAAAAAAATCTACTCTGTTTTTCTGAATTAAAGAGTTAATTATCTCAGAATTACTAGATATTTTTTCATGGAAAAAAGTTTTTGCTCTGTTTTTCGAGATAATCAAGCCATTAATTCTGAAAAACAGAGCAAAAAAAAATTGCCATGAAAAATGATCTTGTAATTCTGAGATAATTAACTTGTTAATTCAGAAAAACAGAGCAAAAACTTTTTTCCATGAAAAATGATCTCGTAATTCTGAGATGATTAACTCATTATTTCAGAAAAACAGAGCAAATCTTTTTTTCCATGAATAATTATCGGGTAATTCTGAGAATTTACTTGTTAATTCCGAAAAAAAGAGCAAAACTTTTTTTCATGAATAATTATCTTGTAATTCTGAGATAATTAACTCATTATTTCAGAAAAACAGAGCAAATCTTTTTTTCCATCAATAATTATCTTGTAATTCTGAGATAATTAACTTGTTAATTCCAAAAAAGAGAGCAAAACTTTTTCCATGAAAAATGATCTTGTAATTCTGAGATAATTAACTCGTTAATTCCGAAAAACAGAGCAAAACTTTTTTTTTTCCATGAAAAATTATCTCGTAATTCTGAGATAATTAACTAATTAATTCAGAAAAACAGAGTGGATTTTTTTCTTCAAGTGAATGCAATACGCTTCCGTAAATACCTGTGTGTGTGTGTGTGTGTGTGTGTACAGGTGTTTATATGATGTATGACAAAATTTTGTATAACAACATTACATTGATATAACAACATAAATGTGGTTTATGAGGACATTTCCTGAGTTCTCATAATTAAAATGGCTTAAAAAACATTAAACAATGTTTTTTTTACGTAAAAATGCAGTTTTCTGTGATGGGTTTAGGGCTGGGATAGAATATACAGTTTGTGCAGTATAAAAACCTTTATGCCTATGGAATGTCCTCATATAACGACAGGTGTGTATGTGTGCGCGTGTGCATAAAAATATATTTTCGAATATATAATATTTTGACTTAATTTATTTTTAAAATGATATGTAATTATATTTTTCATAAAATGAAGAAAATAGGGCCTTCATTTTTAGGACCATAAATAATTCTCATAATAGTTTTACAATTACTGTATTAGAGTACTTTTATACAATATTAAAAAAAATCAATGTACAATTAAGACTTTTCTTCTGGTTGTGGGGTGAAATATGACTGCCATATTACAGACGGGTTTTGTGAATTCATAACAGTTCACACGAATCCGATCGTCCATGATTGATGCAAAGCAAGAAACTTGTCTATACTCTCTCCTCGTCTGCTTTGCTGCAGAATTCGGTCTCTGCTATACGTTCTGTTCCTGCACTGTAAATAAAAAAAATATTTTCATGATTTGTAATCACAACATTTTGTTCTTTTGTCAAATCAACTTAAAAAATCATTTATGTAGTTCAGATAACATAATATTTTAAGTTTCTGATGATAACTCAATTTTTCCATTTCAATGAACTTCATTTTTTTAAGTTAAACCAACAATATTTTTTTACAGTGTGCTATTCTTCATCGGTCGTTGTTTCTTCGCGTTCGCATGTGGTTTGGCAACCATATTCTATCTATAATCATATTTTTTAACACGATATGAAATGAAAGCATACCTGTACCTGTGTATCACTACCTCACATTGCATTGTGGACTGTGTGTTCCAGGTAGACTGTTTTTTTTTTTTTGTTTGTTTTTTAAGATTGGACGGTGTCAGAGCAGCATTGTGTCGCTGACATGCACGTGTACTAATAAGTGATGTGTTCAATTCAATCAGCAAAGTATTGTTTAAATGACTATGCTGCTTTGCAAAGGACCCAGAATGTCCTTTTGTAATTAGAAAACACTTGTTTTTATGCAAATACGTTTTTAATATGATTTTTAATATGTACAGATTAAATTTCGTATTGCTGACTTTATCAGAAAACAACAGTCTGGTAATGAATTGCTCACGCCAAACGTAGTGCTCAATGGGCCATGTTGACAAAGGACATCTCCGAGTCAATTGCACGGTTGTATAATGTAATGGAAATGGGAAGATTTGGGGCCGGTTGCATAAACCGTTCAGACTAGTCGGTCACCACATTTTGTTTCTTTAAGACTGTTTCAAGTCAGTTATATAAATGTAGATTGGTCTAATTTGATATTAGAATGTAAGGCTGTCCCTTAACTCAATGCTAGTTGGACATACCAGTACTCAAAGGAGTAGTTCACTTTTAAAAAAAAAAATCTGCTGATAATTTACTCACCCCCATGTCACCCAAGATGTCCATGTCTTTCTTTCTTCGGTCGAAAAGAAATTAAGGTTTTTGATGAAAACATTCCAGGATTTTTCTCCATATAATGGACTTCATTGGGGACCAAACGGTTCAAGGTCCAAATGAGAGTTTTAACGGGCTTCAAACGACACCAGACGATGAATAAGGGTCTTATCGAACTCGTTCATCAAAATGAACAAATCTTTTTTCGAGTCATTTTCTTCATTTCGTTCGTTGAATGAACCAAATGACTCGGAAAAAACATTCGTTCATTTTGATGAACGAGTTCGAACAGGAGAGTCACGAACGCGCATCACAGAACAGAGCAAGGCGAGCATTTGTGCTTATAAACTCTTAAACTTTTTCTATTTATTTTTTAAATGAGCGATCGTTTCGCTAGATAAGACCCTTATTCATCGTCTGGTGTCATTTAAAGCCCTTTGAAGCTGCACTGAAACTCTCATTTGGACCTTGAACCGTTTGGTCCCCAATGAAGTCCATTATATGGAGAAAATCCTGGAATGTTTTCATCAAAAACCTTAATTTCTTTTCAACTGAAGAAAGAAAGATATGGATATCTCGGGTGACATGGGAGTGAGTAAATTATCAGCACAAGTTTTTTTTTTTTTTTTTTTAAGTGAACTACTCCTTTAAGACACAGTCTCAATATAAGGGCTATGTCAATGCAACCGGCCCCTGATCCTGAAGCTGTGCACTTGGAGATGCTTTGTTCATACCCTAAACTGCACCACATTGCTTTATAGTCACAAATGTAACCCTTCTGAGGTCCCTCAAAGTTCAGCTGATGAATGTATGTCCTTTCTCTATACTGTTGTTGCTCTGAGACTTATAAATGCACTGTAAACCCCTGGGCTTTACCCTCAGCTAGTTTAACCACTCCAACATGGCTTTCTCATCAAACTTTCCTGTTACTTTCCATATAAATATTAAATTATATTATCAACTGTATTTTTGATCTTTTTAGAAGGAAAAAAAATAAAGTTAATAGTTAAATACACCAAGTATTTTTGGTTCTTTGTTATTGGTATATTAAACTAAATATAAGAATTATTGTTTAAAGCCCACACAATATTTATGTCATAATGATTTAAATTGCATGCAAAACTTATTCTTAATTCTTAAATAAGTTCATTTCATTGTGGAAAGCATTCATATTTTACATCAAAACCTTCTGCTAAATGAATACATGTAAATGTACTATGGTTTTGGTAGACTAGGAACACTTAAGAAGCATCTTAATGAATATATCATTAAGAATGTGTAATATCATTTAATGTTCTATGTATGTGAATTATGTAATAATTTAATGTTTTGCATTATGGTAATTATAATGAAGTATAATGCAAATATTACACACTTTAAGTGATGCTAAAATTTGGATATATGGTATCAATATTGTTTGATACAGTATTTGGTACTTGCATTTATCACCCCAACTTATAGCCTATTGTTTTCAATCACTTATGCTTGCACTATATTCATACATCAGTAGATGAAATCTTCTGCTAACTGAATATATTTAAAAGTATATGGTAAAACAACACTTCAAAAGTGCCACAAAAGTACAATGGTAGGCCTACTGTGTCATAATAGTAAGGTATATTTTAAAGTAGCCTTACCATCTGACTCCACAACAAACCATGACATCACAATACTTTTTTTTAAAGTAAAGGTTTAATACCAAAAATTATGTTTTAGAATATGGTTTCTTCAAGGGAGTTCCATGGTATTCTGGGAAGTACCTTGTAGTAGGGCAGGCATACCATAAATACAATAGTACATGAATTTCAATCCCCATACATCACCGAGTGTGCCATTGTTTTGCCACCACAGGATTGTAGACTTATTCTAAACATCTTATGTTTACACGTCAATTAACTTTGATGGATGAATAGAATACATTGCACTTCAAAACCTACAATTCACTGCCTTCCAACCATCTTAGTCACGCAAATTTCAGATATGAATGACGGACAGACCTCCCAAACTAGTGGAGAGTTTGAAAGCATCTCGTGCGCGTGACGTCACCGCCCACGTCAGCACCTTGCGGAAATACCGCTGCGAGATGACGGG